TTTTTTTTTTTTTTTAACTGTACTATCATGATTCATCATCTGAGTATTCAAATGGCTGGGAAACTAGTATGTACACGGCATGAACAAATTGCACAGTGTTGCAAACCATTCAGCCGAGTCTTGATTATACTGAAAAAGGGGCATTTTTCCTGCCTTTTTTTTTTTCTTGGAAGTGCCTGAAATAATTTATAGGAAGGAACGATGACAGTAATCAATTTAGCATGCTTCATAAAGTTCAATTCCTTGTCTTGAAAGCTGTTTAACTAGGCATCAAAAGTGATCTTTCCCCCCTTTCATTAACTTCTAAATTTCGCTTCTGTTCCGGTCCCAAATATCCCCAGATGTGACGATTTTGTGCCCTACTTGTTCTGTATGTATTTCTCATAAAACAACTGTGTTATCACTGCAGACATTGCTTTGAATATAAAATAGATCTGAATGTAATTTAACAATGAATAGAGTCTTGCCTCCTCTTTCCTATTGTTGAAGTATTTATTTGCTTTTTTTAGAATGGCTTGATGGTGCAGAAGTGTTAATTAGCAGGGCATGATTTCTTTTAATTGGTGGTTTGGTTTTTGATCTAATTCTACTATATCACCAGACATGACCCTGACAACTAAGACGGAAAAACAGATGGTGATCGGACCTGAACAATGCTTGTGAATCAATATTGCCTGGACAGTTTTTTCAATAAAAAGAAACAAGGGTGGATGCGTGGGAGGGGTTTACTAAAGCTAGAAACTATTATTAATAATGGTACCGTCAGAAAATTACCCAGCACTCGGAGGCTTTCAATGGACACGGTATATTATTCACGTATCCAAATTTAATGTGCTCTGTAATCATTTACAAATTGATAGTTCTGTCATATTAAACTCTCTCTTTTAAATACTCCCTAGAGGATCTTTTCCATTTTAACCAGGAGCTCAATGACTTACAGAGTAGCCTTCACATAGAACCAAACCCAATTTGAAAACTAGCTCAGTCACAGCCTTAGAAATGTAAATGCACATAGAAATTGATTTGATTAACCCCTTTGTTTCCTGGACATGATCAACTAAGATTAAAATGCTCACTTATTTCCTACAGATGAATGCAGGATTTTATATTGCTTTGACTGGGTGTGCATGGAAAACAGGATTCACTCAGGCTGGGTAAAAATATGTGATTTCAAGAGGATTTTTTTTTTTTGCAACAATTGCTAATTTGCTCAGTGTTATACTTAAGACTGTTTCTAACTTGCTGTGTATTCTCGTAGGTGCAGCGTGGCTGGGGTCTAAGATTTGGGAGCTGACATTCTTGGCAGCATTTCTTCATACGTAACGGAGGGAGCAAAGTTGCCAGTCTATATTGGGCGTAGTTTTGATGCAGTTTACAGTAGATGCATGGGGCTGGCTGGCAATATGCCTATGAAGAGACCCGCCTGTAAATGCCATAGTTTTGTAGCTATCGATTGAACGCCCGCTCACCAGGTGCTCTGACAAATCTTTGAACTTTTGGTTGGCTTTACTAAGCCAGGCTCCCGGCGTGGGCAAGCATCCATCAAAAGGTGTCTAAACACACCAGGCACCTGTTTCCAAATACAGGAGCTGACTTGGCAACTCCTTTGTTTATCCCCCCAACCCCATCTTTTAGACTTGCAGGAACACGATGGCATTTTTTTTTTCTTTTGGTGTGTAGTCCCCTTCAGGAAGGGATGGAGCCAATACTGAACTGCTGTGTCTCTGAATTTCTCCAAGAGGGAGAAAACAAAAACAGAGGGGGGGGAAACCGTTC